CCCCAAGAGCTTCAAGCCCTCCCCCTTTTTTTCCCTTCGTCGCCGTTAGGTAATCCCGCTTTTCGCCCCCCTTTCTCCCTCAAGAAGGCCATTCTGGATCGGTTTATAGGCTTTGTATTCACATTTAGTATCTAAAATTGCAAGACGGTTTTGTCCAGTGTTTTCTTAGTTCCCAATTTTTGCGTTTTTTTTTTCAATTTTTTCATTTTTCAGTTTTTCAAAAAGTGTGATTTTTTCCATTTTTCAATTTTTTGCGATTGAAATTATATACTTATGTCAGATGTAATCCTTACTTTTTGTCTCTTTATCTATGCAACTGACAACTTTCCAGTTGTTTTGACCAGTGTTGCAATGGCTGATGGTAAAAATCGAAAATGATTGTCTCGAAACTGAAAATAATTTTTTACCATGTAGAAATCCCTCAGGGCACTTTTGGCCACTTCTTGTTATTTCTGGCTTGAAAAACCGATTTGATTTTTTTTTTTCGCTTTTTAGCTCTAAAAATTTCCAAACAAAAGTTTTTGTGCTTTTTAGCGGTTATTTCAAAAATTCAATTCAAATTCCTTCAATTTTATTTCAAACTTCAATTCAAATAGATAGATAAAAGAGAATGGAAGGATTCGACTTTGATATTTCATGTGAAATAAACTTCAACTCAAAGATTACAAAATAGTAACCGGAAGCTTAAAAAAACGTTGAAAAAAGCCATTTTGGAACATTAAATACCGAATGTGAATTCAAGAAGCACAAATCATTATTATCTTCAATTCTTATCCAGTATTATCTGAATTCAAAAAGCACAAACTCAGTTTTATCTCCAAAACTTATCCAGTATTATGTGCAAACTATTTTCAAGACTGGTGACGAGATGCCATTGCTCGATCGAGAAATTATCAGACGACGACAGGTTGGTGGTGAAACTGTGGATATGTCGCCAGATGAAATAGACAAATTGCGAAGGATAACTCTACCAGGTTTTTACTTGTTGTTTTATACATCGAGCAGGCGGTTGTGTGGATTGTAACACACTTCTGCCCAAATAGCGAAAGTGGAAGTCCTTTAGCGATGCAGTGAAATGCATATTTGCTCCGTTGTCAAGGTTCAGGTCTCTCCAAGGAGTATTATATCAATTGTTTGAATACTGAATCGTTCTCGATTTGCTCACTGTGCTTCCTGAAACTCTGCACGTTGAAAATCCTGCTCCACAGCGCGTGGCGGCAATTTGAATGTGGCAAGTGGAAGTGGAAGTGGTATGCGGCGGGTTTCGTTCGGGCAAGGGAGGGGTCTAGGATAGTAGGCTTCGCTGCAGTCAGTGCAAAATTCACTGGCATTTTTTTGTAAGCGTCTATCGGTCGGAATTACACTCTGTGTTAGTTACGCTTGCAGGTTTCCTATAATTCTTTTATGCGCATTCTTTTTTTGTCCTCCTTGACAGTATAACGGGTCTTTTTTCCCATTTTTTGTGGTCGAACTGACCAGTTCTCGCTTCTTTTCACAGTTATGTTATTACACATCGCTTGTAAGTAATTTAGTAGTTCATCATTTGGAACTGCCAAATTTCATGCAGATTCCCGAGAATGCGCTTAATCGGTCAGTATTTAAGCATAGTTGATTTTTTCATATTTGGAAATGTA